CTAGACTATCTTTTGATCATACTCCTATTTTGCTAACCTCTAAACTCTGGTCGGGGGTGCCTCAAACCTTTTAGGTTTGAAATTGGGTGGTTACATGAGAAGGAAGTTGTTGCCCTAATTAGAAGTACCTGGGAGAATTCAATTTTCTTTGGTTCTTTAGACTTCCAAATCCATAAGAAGCTCTTGAATATTAAACACAAGCTTATGGATTGGAAAAGAGAAAAGTGTTGTTATGTTAAAAAGAAAATTGAAGATGTCTTGAAAAGCATAGAGGAGGCTGACGAAGTCATGCAACAGTCTGGGGACTGGTCTAAAGAGTTGGCTGTTGCGAGAAGTATTAAAATAAATGAGCTGCATGAGCTTAGAAGAGTGGAAGAGGTGTATTGAAAACAAAGATTTAGGGTTAAATGGTTGAAAGAGGGGGTTTTGAATACCAAATTTTTTCATGCAATAGCTATTGCTAGGAGACGTCAAAATGATGTCTCTGGTCTCAGTATTCAAGGGGTGGACTCTGATGAGAGTGAAGGTATGTCCCAAGGTACTATCAATCTCTTCTAGAATGCTTTCTCCTCAGAAGTCAATTTTACTCCCATACTCAGTAGGGTGGGATTTAAAGTTCTTCCGTCCAATTTCATTCCTATCTTGGATAGGGATGTCTTTATGGATGAACTGAAAAAAGTTATCTTTGCTCTCTCGAGCAATAAGGCACCTGGTCCTGATGGCTTCCTATTAATCTTTTTCCAAAAGTTATGGAATTTGATTAATCGTGAGCTCTTGGAAATGACTAAGGGTTTCTTTAGGAGAGGACATCTTTTTAAAGGAGTGCTCTGCCTTCATTGCCTTGATTCCTAAAAAGTCAGTGATAGCTAATTTGGGAGACATCAGACCAATTAGCCTTTTGACGAGCCTCTACAAAATAGTGGCTAAAGTCTGAACTGAACGTTTAAAGGTGGTTCTATCGCTTATTATTTATGGTCCTCAATATGCTTTCATCAAGGATAGGTTGATTTCTTATAGTGTTACGATTGCACGGGAGTGTATTCATTCACAAATCCTTTGTGGAAGTCCTGGGGTGATTATTAAACTTGATATGGAAAAGGCTTATGACATAGTGGAGTGGAGTATTCTGTTAGAGATAATGAAAAACATGGGTTTTAGTGATAAATAGAGACAATGGATTTATAGCTATTTATCTTCAGCTCATTTTTCTATCTTGTATAAAGGAAGTCAGATTGGGTTCTTTAAGGCTTCTCGGGGTCTTTATCAAGGTGACCCTCTCTCTCCTTTCATCTTCATATTTATGTTGAATGCTTCAGTGTAATGTTGTCTAATGTTGCAAGGAGTGGATATTTCTCGGGCTTTCAGTTGCCTAGTGGGGGACCTTGTGTGTCCCATTTGCAATATGCTGATGATATATTCTTATTTTGTGAAGCTCAGATTACTCAGGTTAGCAATATTGCTACTTTGTTAAGATGTTGTGCAATTGCCTTAGGTCCAAAGGTTAATTTTGGGAAAACAATTGTCGGTTTAAATTGTAGTGATGATGTGATTGGGACAGTGGCACATGTGTTGGGGTGCAAGGTGGAGAAGTTCCCAATCACGTATTTAGGGATGCCAATCTCGGATGGCCCACTCCCAATTGTGGTTTGGGATAAAATTCTTCAACGAATCCAAGTGAAGCTTGATATGTGGAAGTTTAAATATCTCACCTTTGATGGGGGGGGGGGGGGGGGGAGGATTACTCTGATTAAGGCTTGCCTATTGAATTTACTAATATATCAGATGTCAATCTTACAGATCCCTTCTTCTGTGGCTAGGAAAATTGAATTGTTGATGAGGAACTTTCTTTGGGGGTCAACTGCGGAGACGAGAAAATTCCATCTTTTTCGATGGGATTGGGTGTGCACACCCAAAGGGGGGGACTCGGAATTAGAAAAATTAAAGCTGTAACCAAGCCTTGCTCTGTAAATGGTGGTGGAGGAGTTTAAATTTCAAAGATCATATGTGGTACAAAGTCATTGCCTCGAAGTATGGTACATATAGCTTTGGTATGTGGGTTGGTGCAAGAAATGGGGTTAGGGGAATGTCCTCATGTTGAAGGTCGATTCATTCTTATAAAGCTCTTATTCATAGAGACATTCAGTGGACCTTAGGCAACGACAACAATATTTCCTTTAGGCATCACAAGTGGGTGGGGGATTCTCCACTGAAACAAGTCTTTCCTTTGGTCTTCCAAAAGAATGGGTAACCCCAATGCAATTCTCTTATTACTATGAGCATAGGGGTGAACATATTATTTGGAATATCAACCTCCCTTATAATAGGATTCCCGATCCTTTCTTTTCTGAACTTTCTGGTTTACTTAGATTACTGGAGGATGTGTATATCCCTCATAATGCCGTTGATGAGGTCGTTTGAGAGAGAGATAAAAATGGAGAATATTCGGTTAAGCCTATGTACCAGTTGCTTTTCCATGATAGATGGCAATGGTCTATGCCTGAAACTGCCATCATTTGGAAGTGGCCTTTGCCTCTTAAGGTGCAACGCTTTTTATGGTTGGCTGTTCAAAACAATATCTTAACGGTAGATAATCTCATCAAGAGAGGGGAAATATTGCCAAATGTTTGTCTTATGTGTAAGCAGGATGGGGAATGTGGAGATCATCTTTTTCTTCACTGTCCTTTTACTTATTGCATTTGGAGATGGTTCTTTGAACAGCTTGGGATTGCGATGGTAATGCCACCAAAAGTTGAAGGTATTTTGCAAAATATGACGCTTGATTTACCTTGGATTGGGCTTATAATTTGGCAAATCACTAGAGGCATAATTTTATGGGAAATTCGGGAAGAGAGAAATAGAGGAGTGTTTGACGGGATTTGCTTGCCTTTTGAGAAAATTTTGAAGAAGAATGTTGCATGCAATTTGGCTATAACTTTCGGTTACCAAAGTTGGTCAAGATATATCGGAAGTGGATGTTAGGAGAAATTTTTAAAAAAAGTTCCAGCTGGGTTTCCTAAAGTGCAGACCTAAAGGAAGATGGGTGGCCCCAATCTTCGAGGTCTTTAAGCTTAATTTTGATGGCAATTCGTTAGGGAATCCGAGTCCAGCGGGATTTGGTGGTCTGCTTAGGGATTGGCTGGGGAATGTTATTTTTACGTATGCAAGTCCTCTTGGGGTGCATACTGCTAATTTTGCCGAACTGTATGCATTGTTTTATGTCTTGCGTATCTTTGTAGTGAGAAACTTGGGGCCTTATTGCATCTTAGAAGGTGAATCCTTGAATGTCATTAACTAGTGTAAAAAAGAGCAGAAGTTGCCTTGGGAGTTCAGATTTTTGCTTTTACAGATTCTGATCCTGGACCTCTCTAGTCACTTCTTCTTCGCTTTTGCACATGTCTATCGGGAAGCTAATGTTCTGACTGATTCTCTTGCCAAAAGGGGTTCTCTCCTTTTTGAGACTATTGTCATATCATTTTAGTTTTAATATAATAGTGGAACTTCTATAAAAATAAAGAAAGAGAGGGTGAGATTTGGACTGAACTACTCAGTGGGAAGCTCTTCGAGATGGAGCCATCGGCATGTAGCACGAGGTGGAGACAGGAGAAGGGACCAAAGTCGTATGAGTAAGAGTTGGAATGAGGTTCTTGTGGGTGACAAAGAGAAAGAACCACTAGGGAGGAGAAGTATGAGAACTCTTTCCAAAATAGGAACGGTCATAATGAGTTGCCAGGAGTTGTGCTACAGCCTCCCATCGAGGCAGAAGACCTTTCAACATTGTTAAGAATATGGAGGGAGTCAAGGTCATTGAGCTGGAAGATAAATGTGTTGAAACTTGGAGGCCGATACTCACGAAAGTTTTAGTTTGCTCGTTTAGCCCTCCTATCAGAGACCTTAGCATGTTAAGGGACCGGGCTATCAAGACGTGGGGCTGTAGTTTGGCGTGAAGAACAGTACCAGCAGACCATATCCTAGTTATCTTTGGTAGAGAAGCAGACCATATCCTAGTTATCTTTGGTAGAGAAGCAGACCATATCCTAGTTATCTTTGGTAGAGAAGAAGATGCTAGACGTATCTTCGAGCAGCATTTATGGCTCCCAAAATTGCCCGATCTAACTGCTAACCTGCCGGTTAGATTGGAACCGGCCAGTGTCTGGTTTCGGTTTTGGGTGGTTAAGGTGATAAACCGGTATCTAAAAAAAAAAAATGTATTTAAATTCTAAAAAATAAGAAATTTGATTTGCAATGCATTTTTAAATATTCTTTACATTATGGTAAAGATTAAAAAAAAATTTGGTCATTAAGGCTCACTTTTATATTTTCCCATCTTTTTTAGAAAACTTTAAAAATAGCCCTTGAAAAATATAAAATGGGTTAAAATCCATTTTTTCATTAATTTTCAAATTCATTTGAATGTGTTTTGTTTTAATCATTCTTTATATGCTTTTTATATTGTAGTAGATTTTCTTTTTGTATTTTTTTAATTTTTTTTAAACTTTTTTGACGGCCTGGGACTTACCTGGTTAGAGCAGTTGAATCGGCCGGTTTACCGATTAGGCCGGTTAAAGTGCTTCTAGGCCCATGTCCGGTTAACCATGCCGATTTGATTTTGCAAACAAAAGATTCAAAGGGGTCCTGCTGTGTCTCGAATGGTGGTCTCTTAAAGCAAACCCATTTCTAATACATATGCCTGCTATGTGGCCGAGCATAGAAGGAATCCCATACATGCATGGACTAAAGAAGTTTTTATCACTTTAGCACTGGAATGTAGCAAACAGATAGAGGTGGACTGGTTCACTTCTGTTGGACAAGCATTGAGCAAATTGAGGATAAAAGTTCAGATAACGCCAGGTAAGAAGATCTCTAACTCTCATCCTTAAAGTCCTTGAAGATTATTATCACGTTTCGATTGTTAAGGAGGAGACCTCAGCCACTATCATCCCAACCACTCCAAACTCCATGGAATCAGTTGCTCAACTTGCCACTAATTGCAAAAAACCAGTGGAGAATTCTGAGTAGCAATGGAGGGTGGTATCCAAAAAGAGAGGAATATTATTCAAAATGGTCAAAACAAAAAAGAAAAAAAAGCAACTTAGAGGCAAGCATGGAGAAGGAGATTAGCTTTCAGCTTGCCACTGGTTCTGGACGGAAGGGGCTTGGCAGCTTAAGTTCAAATTCAAACACTACAGATACCTCTCTTGCAACGGCTACCCATATGATGAAGACACAATCTCAACCATTCGAAATCCCGGCCGTTCAATTGGGCAATAGGCATGCCCTCTTCTCAAAGACCATATAAAGCTGACTCCTTGGAGACCACCCTTATTGCGTCCCCATGCATCAGACGTGTGCACTCTGAAAAGGCGGCTTCGTCTAGTTTAAAGTTGGTCGTCCACCCAACCCAACTTGCGGTGATGGAGACTGATGATCTCTGCAATCCATGAAGCACTTGAAGTCGGTGGATGCGGTAAGATTGACCGAGAAGGCGGATAGTCAGGACATCAAAAAGGTAAGCTTTCCCCCCACGCCGCTTCTTTCCCAAGAGATACAACCTGCCATCTCATGCCTTTACATGCAAATGGAAAGTCCTTATATGGAGGCAACAACCAGGGGATGATCACGCTCCTCTGGTTCTTTTTGTATGGTCTAACTTTCTCTGTCTCACAAAGAACGTTTGCTTTCCACTCTAACCCTAAAGAACCTAACATGACTCCCAAAAGGGTCATGATCTTTAAATCCAATTACCGACTTGTCATCTGTTGTAACCCCGCTTTGGTCCCTGCCCTACCAGTGGACACCGTGAAAATGTCGTTATCCCAATGGGAGAAAAGCAATGGCCAGGGCAAATTGACCTCAACACACCATCGATGGCGGCAAACGAGGAACACATAGCCAGGGGACTACTTTTGGCCATTATTCCCTATGCTCCTCCAATCCTCATCCCAGAGTCATTGGACTCCTCTGATGAAGACCTCTCTCCCACAAGCTGCTATTTTGGAATTTTAGAGGGTTAGGGAACCTTAGAAAAAGAAGAATTTTGTAGAAAATGGTGCTGCTATTCTGGAATTTTAGAGGGTTAGGGAACCTTAGAAAAAGAAGAATTTTGTAGAAAATGGTGCGAACTCATAAGCCGCAAATCATTATTCAAGAAACAAATCTAGCTTCCCCTGAGATCCCTCTAATTAGGTCTTTTTTGGGCTTTAGCTCGGTTGGCTTTTGTTTTTATGCTTTTGATGGCCTCCTGGAGGCCTTTCCACTGTTTGGGACCCATCTGCTCTAGTGGTTTGATTTTTAACTTTCTTTTAGATGTATTCTTGTTTTGCTTGTTGATCCTGGGCCTTTTCTTGGTGCTCGTCGTATGTGTATGGGCCCAATGCTCCAGTGGATAAGAACTCTTTTTTTATGCTTTAACTGATATTATAGTGACATCAAATGTGCCATGGAGTGGGGCTAGGGATTTTAATCAAACAAAAGGACCACATAAATCATTAACGACAACACGTTTAACAAATTACATGGTCGCATTTGATAATTTCATCAATATGAATGGCTTAATGGATTTCAATATGGTGGGAGCATTCTATACATGGACTAATAATTTTGCAAATGTCCCCAAATGTCTAAATTGGATCGATTTCTTGTAACGAATGGATGGGAGGCTAATTTTCCAAAAGCAGTGATTTTAACTCCGCCTCCTAGCATCTGATCATGCTCCCATTTTATTGGACACCGAAGGATATGTTTTTGGACCATCCCCATTTCGTTTTGAATTAATGTGGTTGGGAGAATGTAGTCTGAGGGAGGAGGCTCTGGTTGTTTGGACTTCGGAATAACACTCATTCAAATGGATGGGCAGGGTACCAAAAAAGCAGAAAACTATAAACTCTCAAACAATGGTTAAAGCAATGAGGAAGGACTAAATTTGGGGATGTGGCTAGAAATATTGCAAACACCTCTAATACCATTAAAGAGCTCAATCAGATGGAACAAAATAATTGAGGGATTGAATGAAGAACAGAAGAATACAAGAGAATGTTTGAAGGCTGTTAGATGATCTAATTAGAATGGAAGAGATCTTTTGGTTTCAAAGATCTAGATCTAAATGGATCAAAGAAGACAATAATACCAATTACTTCCATGCAAAAGAAAATTCTAGAAGAAGAATAAATATTTTTAGTTAATTATACCAGGTGAGGAACCAAAAGACAAAAATGGAATGGATCGCCATAATTTAGTTATTTCATAAAGCCTTCATTTCGGGGCCTAGATTGCCAATGTCAATAGACAACCTCCCCTTTAATAGACACTTTGAAAACTCAGTTGTGGAATTGGAAGCACAATTCACCATGGAGGAAATCAAAACAACAGTTTTTGGCTTGCCTAGACATAAAGCACTAGGGCCAGATGGCTTCCTAATTGCATTTTTCAAGAATTATGGGAGTCTGTCAAATATAACTTCATGGATTGGTTCCAACAATTTACAACAATGGGATAGTCAATAAAGCCTTAAACTCCACCTTCATTGCCTTAATTCCCAAAAAACAAAACTCGGCTTCATTGCAGGACATGAGACCTATTAGCCTGCTTTCGGACACCTATAAAATATTGGCAAAGGTGTTAGTAAACAGACTCAGGAATGTGCTAAATGAGGTTGTGAAAGGACCACAAACAGCTTCCATAAAAGATAGACAAATCATGGACGGGATTTCTAATTGCAAGGAAGTTATCCACACTACGAGATTCTTGGGCAAAAGTGGCATCCTACTAAAAAATGACCTTAACGAGGCCTATGCTAGAGTTCAGTGAGAATTAATGGGTTTTGCATCAAGGTGGAGAAAATAGATCATGGGGTGTTTATTTTTGGTGCACTTCTCTATGATTATCAACATCATCAACAACAAGGCTTGTGGCTGCTTCAAAACAAAAAGGGGTATTCGTCAGGGTGATCCCTTATCCCCTTTCTCTTTGCGGAATCTTTTAGCAAAATGTTGAAAGGGGTAATAGAGTGGCCTCATCTCGGGACTACATGCATATCCAAATGGCCCAATTTTGTCCCACCTACAATATGCTGATGACACACTACTCCTTGCTCAAGCAACCAAGGAGCAAATCCAAAATATTCAGTTTTTTCTTAAATGCTATGAATTAGTGTTAAGAGGCCAGAGTCACCATGAACAAAACTACATTTGTGGATATTGATTGTGCAGATAGGGAGTTAAATGACTGGGTGGAGTGGCTAGAATATGGGGTTCAATCATTGCCCAATTGCCCATTAAATATCTGAGCATACATCTTTATGATGGTAGACTCCCCAGGGACTGGTGGATCCGATAATACATAGATCTCAGTATATACTGGATGGATAGAGATCAAGATACATCTCATTTGGTGGGTGCATTACTCTTATACAGTCCTCCACACTATCCAACCTCCCCATTTACTAATCCCATTTTAGAGCCCCTGCTTTAATAATAAAAGGATAGATGCAATGATGAGGAACTTCTTATTGTGTGGATCCCAAAATCACAAAAAGTTCTACCTAGTAAAATGGACCACGTGTGCCTACCAAAAGAGAAGGTGGCTTCGGAATCCAGAGACTTAATGCATTAAATAATGCACTTCTTACTAAATGGTGATGAAGACTTGGCAATCACAATGGCCAGCTATAGGGTGAGATAGTCATTGGGAAATATGGACAAGACCAAAGAGGATTCATCGCAAAACAGCTAGCCTGAAATGCTCTGGTCTCAATGGTATGAAAAAGAATTAATTTCGTCGTAGCTCTAATTATTAAATGTACTAGAATGTTGATTGGAGATGTGACGATCCAAAATTTTGAAACTGAAAAATAATAATATAATAATAATGATAAATTATAATAATAAAATACAAACAATAATTTCATATTCTTGTCACGTGGATCACTTACATAGTGTGGTCCAAAAGAACTACTCTTTCTTTTTGCCTCTTTTAGTTAGCGTGGAGGGACTTCTCTTTTACTACCCATTGACGTGACAATTTATTGTCCATATATGTCGTCTTTTTTACACATCCACCATCTATGTGTACGCAGTATATGAAATCATGTTCCATTTATCAACCTTTTCAATCTTTCCTTGCACCGAGAATGCTGGTGGTGCAAATCCCTTAAATCATTCAATCATTCCACCATCTACATAATCTGGGGCAAGGACAACCGGGGCTGGCATTCAATCCTTCATAACTTGAGTCATGGCCTCGAATGCTTGAGGTGACCATATGGCTGAATACACGTGATTGATGTTGTGGAGATTTAAAAATTTGAAATTAATTGAAAAAGTAAAATAATTTAGAATTTGTTTTGTTCCTTTAATAAATTGTCACATCTCAGGGATTTTAGTGTTATAAACTTGGGGTGTGACAATTATGGTATCAGAGCACCAGGATAGGATTCTTGGCCTAGAATCTTAAGAGGACCCTTAAATTGTATAGGGATAAACTAGCAACTAGAGTTTGGGTGTTCTTGCTTCAAGTTAAGATGTCCAGAACTTGTATTAGCAATTCGAGCAAGAGTAATGAGAACACTGAGGCTTTCGGAAAAGTTTTACGTGCTTGAGGCCATGACTAAAGTTATGAAGGATTGTATGCCAGCCCCGGCTGTCCCTGCCCCAGATTTTATAGATGGTGGAATGATTGAATGATTTAAGGGATTTGCACCACCAGCATTTTCGGGGCAAGAAAAGATTGAAAAGACTGATAAATGGAAGATGGCTTCTTATACAACATACACAGATGGTAGATGTGTCAAAAAGCCCACATATATGAACAATAAGCTGCCACGTCAATGGGGAGTAAAAGAGAAGTCCCTCAATGCCAACTAAAAGAGGCAAAAAGAAAGAGTGGTCCTTTTGGACCACACTATGTAAGTGGTCCACGTGACAAGAATATGAAACTATTGTTTGTATTTTATTATTATTATTTATCATTATTATTAATTAATAATTATTATTTATCAGTTTCAAAAATTTTGGGTCGTCACAAGAGATGCGAGAAAAATAGGGTTCTGGAACACCAAGTGGCTTGGTAGTTACATGCTAAAAGTTCAATTTCCAGAACTATATCAAAGAGCTAGAGAGAAAAAGGCCCTTGTCAAAGACATGGTTAGGGGAGAGGCAGATAGGGCCATTTGGAATGTTTTTCTGGATGTCCATAGAGTTAGCCAGGTAGTGGAAAACTGGTATACCTCTCTAATGGCAATGGTCTAGGTTTCTTCCACTGCTCAAGAAATCGTTGGCAAGATCATTTGGGATTTAGAGCCTAATGGGACTTTCTCTGTTAAATCTTTATATAGATAAATCTCAGGGGATTGATTTGTACAATTCAACCTAGCAATCCATAAATATAACCCTGGTAGACTAGCTCCAAAGATGCGGAATAATAATTACGAATGTTTGCTTATTCTGCAAGTCCAATGAAGAAACAATTATCTTATTTTCATTCATTGCCCATTCACAAGAGAACTTTGGGATTGGGTCTTCAAAAAGTCAATGGCAGGGGATCCTCCCCAAGGATGTCACGAGCCTATTGGAACAGGCTGGTCCCTTTTGTGAAGGATGTTCTTTGCAGTAGGAATAGGGAACTTATGGAAGGAAAGAAATAACAGAGTGTTTGAAGGGAAAGCCAGAGACAGATGTCAAGTTTGTCCAGTAATCACATCTATCTACACACAACGGGCACAAGTACAACCGGCTTTCATTGACTTTCCAAAGGAGCGCCTCGTTCAAAATTTCAAAGAATTGTTGTTCTCTAATACAGTTATACATGATCCCCTCTATAGAGGCTATCACCAAAATCATGGGTCAAATTGAATATTGATGGTCGTGTGCGAGGTGAAGAGCAGATTGCAGGGTATGGTCGACTATTGAGTGATAATAATGGCAACGTCCTTTGGACATACCAAGGTCGACCAAGGTCGATTGCATAGATATGGGATCAATGAGGCAGAGC